CCACCATCATCACCATCACCACCATCACCATCACTACCATCACCACCATCACAACCATCATCATCACTATATTCACTACCATCACCACCATCATCATCACCATCACCATCACCACCACCACCATAACCATCCTACCACCATCATAACCATCACAACTCTCACCATTGTCATACCATCACTGCTATCACCATCATCACCACCACCATCATCAAAAGCATCACCATCACCACCATCGCCATTATCATCATCATCATCATTGCCAGTTGGAGGTAAGCTGGAAAAGATGAGAATCACCAGCCCCCAGGACGAAATCAAATAGGACAGGCCCATGTTCTCCCGCTGTGGTGCTGTGGCTCAGTGTGATGCAGCCCTGTGGGCTGAGGGCCATGAGAATGTGGACACTCACTTGCCCAGTCCTAGCCTAGTCCTAGCCTAGTCATGCAGGGTGCATGCCCAAAAATCCCAAGGAGAGAATAGAAGAGAAGGGATTGTGGTGTGGCCATCCCCCCGGGAGGTGATTTCTCACCTTTTGTCTCTCTGCCTTTCTCTGTCTCTGGCAAGTGCACCCACTGGTCTAGAAGAGCTGGTGTCGGGACCAGCAGTTACCGTAATGGCTATGTCACTGGACTCCCACGTAGTCAACCGCGGTTCCCATCCCAGACCTAGTGGCTTAAAACTCACGCCGGGTGCGTGTGCATGCGTGCCCAAGATCCCGAGAGGAGAATGGAGGAGAAGGGATTGCAGTGTGGCCATCCCCCCGGGGGGTGATTTCTCGTTTTCTATCTCTCTGTCTCTCTCTGTCTGGCAAGCGCACGCACCCTATAGCAAAAAAAAAAAAAAAAAAAAAAAAAAAACGGGGGTCACCAAGGCCCCCTAAAAAAAAAAAAAAAAAAAAAGACAGCTGGTGTCACACAGGCCCTGTGACGAGGGTCTCGGTCAGCCCACCAGTAAAAACAGGCTGGCCCATCCCTGATGGGCGGTAAACTCCATGTGGCATATCCATACTGTGGAGCGCTGCTTGGCCATGAAAAGGCACGAAGTTCCTGCACATGCTCCAGCTCCGAGGGGCCTTGGAGACATCACGCGCCGTGGAGGAAGCCAGACACAGGGGCCACATGGTGCGTGAGCCCATTTCTAGGAAGTGTGGGGAACGGGCAGATCTCTGAGCAGAAGGGTCAGTGACTACCAGGGCTGGGGGAGGGAGGGTGTGGGCAGGGCCTGCCCATGGGCACCCAGTCTCTTGCTGAGATGATGACAACAGCCTCCGGTGGACTGTGGCAATGGTTGCACAACTCCATGACGTCCCCAAAGCCATCGGGTGGTGATTTCAGCGCTAAACTGTGACATGTGCTCTGTATCTTGGTAAAGCCAGGAAATGAACCGAGAGAGAAAACTGCCCCTTCCTGCCTCCCCTGGCTCTAGGAAACCTTTGGAACTGGCGCCTGGGGAATGTGAAAGTCTCACAGGTATCTTTCTTTGTGGGTTATTTGTGCTGTCCCCTCCCTCCACCAAGAAATAAAAAATGATATGACCTTCAAAACCAAGACGACCTTGGGGAACCACGAGGCACTCTTGGGATGGCTGCCTGCAGGGGATGGAGGGGTGGCAGCAGCCTCGGGATGGAGGCTGCGAGGGAAGAAGTCAGTGGCTAGGAAGGCCTGGCTCTCTCTCCATGGGGGTGGAGCTGGCTTTGCTAGCTCATCCCCACTCTTCGGATGGGGAAACCGAGGTGAGAGCAGTGACACAGCTGGGGCGAATGGCCCCTTGGCGCTGTACGCGGAGTCCTGAGCTTTCCACTGGGTGCAGGGGGAGCTGCACTGGGGGAGGCGAGGCCTGCAGACACGGGGTTTCCTGCCTGAGGTTGGAGTGGAACCGAAAGTGCTGAGCTGGGATTTGAACCCAGAGTCAGCCCTCTGGCTGCCATGTTACACACTCGTCTGCGAGGCGCACGTTAAGCATTTGGCCGACATTAGGGAGTGGAAAAGACCTCATTGCTTACTTGGGCCTGTGCTTGCTCCCAGCTCTGAAACTGCTATGGACTGAATTGAGTTCCCCAAATTCATGCGTTGAAGCCCTAAGCCCACACTGGGATGGGGTGTGACTGCATTTGGTGAGGTCACAATGGTGGGGCCTCCCCCATGAGAGGAGCCTCCTGAGTGCGTGCTCTCTGCTCTGCATGGGAGGACGCAGTGGGAGGTGGCCATCTGTAAGCGGGGACGACAGCCCTCGCCAGAACCCTGCCATGCTGGCTCCCTGAGCTTGGACTTCCAGCCTCCAGAATGGGAGGGATGAATGTCCAGTGTTGAAGCCTATCGGGATTTATTATGGCGGTCACAATGACAGCGACAGTGGCTCTGGACAAGCCTCATCTCCCGCCTGAACTGCACACTCTCCTCTGAAGCGAGCACACCGGCCAGAGTGCAGGGGCTGGCTGGGGAGGAGACCTGCCCCTCCCGAGGGCAGAAGAGGTGTCACTAGCTTTAGGACAGCGGGACTGGCCACAGAATTCGATGCATGGTAGAGGAACCTTTCTCACCAAGTGAGCTGTGCAGTTGGGGCAGTTCTGCAGGTTGGGGAGCCTGCAGGTGGGGTAAGCTCTGCTAGTGGGGATCTCTGCAGGTGGGGGATCTCTGCAGGTGGGGCAGCTCTTCAGGTGGGGGAGCTCTACAGGTGGGTAGCTCTGCAGATGGGGAGCTCTGCAGGTGGGGAGCTCTGCAGGTGGGGATCTCTGCAGGTGGAAAGCTCTGCTAGTGGGGATCTTTGCAGGTGGGGGAGCTCTGCAGGTGGGAAAGCTCTGCAGGTGGGGAGCTCTACAGGTGGGGATCTCTGCAGGTGGGGATCTCTGCAGGTGGGGGAGCTCTACAGTTGGGGATCTCTGCAGGGGAGCTCTGCAGGTAGGGGAGCTCTACAGGTAGGGGAGCTCTGCAGGTGGGGAGCTCTACAGGTGGGGAGCCTGCAGGTGGGGGAGTGTTGGTTGGCCTCAGTCCAGGTACCTGTTTTACTGCCCAACCTGGGAGCCCTCGAGGTCCAGTCCCTGGGGGTCTTTAGCTCCAGCCTCAGTCTGGCTATTTCTTGGGAGTCCAGTTCCTACTCTACTGAGTGGACAGTCGAGGCACAACAGGGCGCTGGGAGGGCTCGGGACCCCAGTCATCGAGGCGGGGCGGGGGGCAGCACGGGGTGCAAGGTGCAGGCCCCGCCAGTAACCGGTCAGTCCTGAGAG